GGCAACATTAAGCTATGGAGGTTTTTTGAGTGGGTGGCAACTATGTTTATGTTTTTAAGTGTTGTATGAGAACATTTAATAAGAGGTATGCAGTCAAAAGTTCTTCAAGTATAAAATTGCTCTGAGAGCCTGGGAGTGGTGGCAATTTCATCTGGTTGGGTGCTTCGGCCTTTGTTTCATAGCTTCTGTACTTACTTGGTCACCGTCGGCAATTTATAAACTCCTCTAATCATCAGACTTCTCTCTTCTTACTACTTGATACTGTATCCCCAATTCTGCACTCCCAGGTCTTCACGGTATCTTCTGTGACTCTTACTATTCCATGATACACTTGAAAAACTTTCCCTAGTCAGAGACTGGGATGGACGAGAAACTCACTTGTGTGCTTCTCTTCCCTTTGAGATTACAGTCCTGTCCTGCTTTTTGTCCACTGCCTATATGCTTTGTCCAGTATTATAATTGTTTGTGGTGGGAAGGCAAGTCTGGTACCAGTTATTCTGTCAAGGAAGCCGAAGTCTCTTACTCTTTGAAACATATGCCTTCTGTCTGTTTTCTCATATCAATCTACAAGTTACTTGTACTCATTTAGAGAATATTTTGGCCTCCAGTTTATAGACTTTCTCTCCATTTTATATATTGCCATCATTCTAGGTGACTTCAGTGCTTGTGTGAGTAACCCATCAAATATTCTAGTCCAGCCTTTTTGGCACTAGGGACTGATGCTCCTATGAGAATCTAATGCCTGATGGTCTGAGGTGGAGCCAAGGAGGTGATGCTAGCGCAGGGGAGCAGCTGCAAATACGGATGAAGCTTTGTTCGCTCTCCCGCTGCTCACTCCTGTGTGGCCCAGTTCCTAACAGGCCACAGACCAGCAGTGGTCAGTGGCCTTGGGGTTGAGGACCCCTGCTTTAGTCTGTCTCGAGGTGACTCCTCTTTAGCCTCCCATTTAGATCACTATACAGTCCTCTTTCATCACCAAAAAGACCTATACCTCTGAAATCTTAAAAATCACATATCCTACTTGCTGACCAGTGTCTGATTCTTTCAGCTAGTCACATTGTACCTGCTTCTTGACTTAGCCTCCTAACTCTTCCCTCTTCTGCTGTCACTTTTCTATGCAGTTTAGAGTCAGTCTAGTCTGGATTCCATGGTCCATTACTTCAGCCACTTTATTGCCAGTATCTTTACCTCCCTTCCATTCTATTCCACTGTCTGACAAAATCCAAATCTTGGATTAGTGATGCTTTTTAGTGTTTGTATTCCTGGTTACTGAATACTGCTAGAGAAAATCCCACACCTGTAAATTTAACTCTTTAGCCTTAATACTGCCCAGCAGTTCCCTAGGATACCCTTCTCTTTAGTTCTCCCCAGAAGCTGTTTCAGAACTTCCCCAGTCCTCTATAACTTCTGATCATGCCACCTTTGCCCTTTACTCTCAGCATCTCCTGTTTCACTTAAAGGCTATCATGTGGCTTTTAATTCTTGTTATTAGATCTACAGGCTTCATTGTATTCTTATCCATCTATTCTTTCTCTGTGGTATTGGGGAAAAGATGTCCTGCCCTTTTAGGACTATTTCTTCTGTTAGTTTCTGAAACCCAACTACTCTTACCTTCTCTAGGATATTATCCACTCAATTTATCTGTTCTCTACCTCTTTCTCTCTTCTCTCCAATCAACATTTAAATGTGATCAGGTTTTACTGACCACCTTCCCTCATTTCCCCCCTCCAGCTACCACCTTAGCTCTTCTTTCCTTTAAAAGGAGAATATCCACATTGACCAGTTCCACACTTCCATCTCACTATTCATTCCATTGCATTCCTTTGCCATTCTACTAAAATTGCTTTAGCTAGTTCATCAGTGCCTCTTGTTGCAAAAGCTAATGGACACTTCTCAGTCTGTCTCTTTTGTCAACCAGTGATCCTTGGCGCCAATTCAGTACCAACAGGAATCCCCAATTTGGGGTGTGGTGAGGAGGGAAACTATATTCAGTGCAAATAGATCAATTGTGATACAGCATGGCTGTGAGGACAGCTTAATAGTGATAACACTATTAGCTCAGTTAAGAGACAGCATGTCAGCTCTTCTCTGCTCTACTCTAGTCTACTCCACTCTGCCCTGCTCTGTCTGCTCTTCTCTACCTGGTCTTCTGTGCTCCAGTGAGACGTCAGTATTTTGTCTTCAGTGTTTCAGCTCCAGCCAAGGAAACGCTGTCTACAGTAGAAAGGGAAAAGTGCTCTGCGAGCCAGCAGGGAGCAGCAGATTATATAGACAGAATCTTTGGTTGGTCCATCCTCACGCAAATGAGGACTCCAGATCTTCGTAGTTTGATTGGTTCAAAGGTCACTATCCTGATTGGTCAGAATGGAGCCACTCTAATTGGTTGGTGAAGATGGGGGTTTATAGCTGTGCAGCTCCAATTGGACAGGGAAAACCTCCTGTTGGTTGAAATACAATTCCAGGAAGTCCTTTATAAGGGCTGGCTCAGATATCAAGAACACAGTGCAGGGAGGCAGTTCAGTGTGGGAAGAAGCCAGTCAGTGCAGAATTCTCCCTGAACTGCTATTTGCATGACAGACCCCTGTTTAAAAACAGCTTCTAGGCTCTGCTTTTAAATTTGAGCCTAAGTCTATGGCCATGCCACCCTGAACATGCCCAATCTCGTCTGATCTCGGAAGCTAAGCAGGGTCAGATCTGCTTAGTACTTGGATGGGAGACCACCTAGGAAGACCAGATGCTGTAGGTGTTAAAAAAAAAAAGGGCGGGGGAATAAATTTGAGCTCAGTTAGCAACCAGGAACCCTTCTCAGTAGGTCTTTTCTTTCTCGGGGTCCACACTTGATTTTATAAGTATTTGATTCTGTTAACTGCTTCATCCCTGTTGACGTATTTCCTTTCTTTATCCCTCTCTCCCACTCTTCCTTCTTTTCTTTCTTTCTTTTTTTTTTTTTTAACCTTGACAGCCTTTATGGCTTGTCCGTTGGTTTTCCTCCCAACTCTTCTAATTAACATATTTGTTTCTAGATTTCTCTTGCTCTGCTTATTTCTTAAATGTCTTATATTCCCTTCTTTTTTCACTCTGCAGCTTCTCCCTAGGTCATGCCATTTTTTTTCTCCATGACTTCAGTGATCTTTATGTTGATAATTCCCAAATCTTTATCCTTAGACAATATTCTCTGCAGAGACTTAAACTACCCAGTAGTTAGCTGCTTATGGAACATTTCTGCTTGGACCCTGAAATTTAGCATATCCAAAGAGAACGGATTTTTTACTTCAACCTTCTGCTCACATCTAATCAACTATGCAATCCTCTTAATTCTTCCCTACATATCACAAAACAATCAGCTTCTTTTTATTTGTAGGTCTCTTCCCTAGTACAAGCAAGCCATCCTTTAACTCTCTTAAATGACTTTCAGCAGCTTTCTGTGTTTTTCCAATTTAAGCTGTTCTCCATATTGCAGCCAGAGTGGTCTTCTGATTATACAATCTAATGATACTTGAAAATTCTTAAAATATTCTTAAAACTCTTCATTGTCTCCTGGGTATTACTCGTGACTCTTGGTAAATGACAGAAACTCTACATTAGGTTTGGCAAAGAGGGAAATCATTGGAAGGTTATGTAAGTACAGAAGAAGATTGAGTGTAGCTTGGGCCTCAGAAACACATAGAACCAGGATTTGAAATACTGACAATACTTTCTTCACCTCCCTTTTCCTCCTCCTCTCTGTGGACTGGCCTTATTCTCTTCTCACTCTGTAGTGACTCGTGCACTGAAAAGCTAGTACCAAAGTTTGTACTTCATATATTTATTCACAGTTAAACATAATATAGTCATTGGAATTTGAACTGTGTTGTTGGGGGGCTAGTGTTTCATAAAATCATGGTAACTGAAATTTATGCATATCAGAATTTTCTTTTCTTTCTCGGGGTCCACACTTGATTTTATAAGTATTTTATAAGGATTTTATAAGTATCCGTTCTCTTTGGATATGCTAAATTTCAGGGTCCAAATTTATGCGGAATGTGAGGACTGCTTGTATTGAGACATCTTAATATGACTTATATGACACTATATCATCTGACTTCGGCTTGGTTTGTTTAGATTTATCTCAAAGCCACTTCTTCCTTGTAACTGTGCTCAGATCTTAGCCCACTTAGTTCTCTCATTTGAATTCCCCTACCTTGTCCCCAATCCCTCATTACTCTAAGCTGTCCTCTTTTGTTTTTCTCTTACTCATTCTTTTTTTTCACAGACAATGCTTTTTCTGAAAAAAGGACAGCTTTTCTGTCCTTTCAAAGTGTGGCTGTGTATTCTGCCTGAGGTGTTTTTAGATCATGCGTACTTTTCTCTGCCATAATATAGGACACATGATCACACTATATTGCATTCATTGACTTCTGTCACACCTACCAGACAGTGTTTTCCATGCAAATAGAGACCACAGCACTGCTGTTTCCTACTATATCCCCAGAGCCTCGTACTGTGTAGCATGAAATAGGCACTCAGTAAATTTTTTTTTTAATTTAATGAAAAATAACCAGAATTTTGGTGAGGTATGACTAGTACAGTATCATTAGAAGGTATTCTGGAAGAATGTAGTTATAGGTTAGTTAAACATGACAACCTATGTACCAAGTTATGAAACAGTGAGAATTTATACTTCCTTATACTTTATTTTTCAAGCTTTTCCTCTATTTTATGTATTTTTAAAATTTATTTTTGAATTACATTTACAACACAATATTATATTAGTTTCAGTTGTACAACATACTAGACGTTTGTATACCTTATGAAGTATACTTTCTTATGCTTTAAGTGAAATGTTTTTTTGATAGCATACATTCAAAGATTCTTATAATTAATAAATACATTACAGAAAATCATGATTGGAGAAATTGCTTCAGTCTGATATAGTAGGTGCTTAATAAATACTTGTTAAATCAATGAAGGGACAACTTTATGTTTTTTTGGTTCTAATAAAATTTTAATTTATTTTTAAGGTATCTTCATGTTTTAATGATCTTCTGGTCATTTGTTGCTGGAGTTGTCACATTCTACTGCTCATTAGGACCTGATTCTCTCTTACCAAATATATTCTTCACAATAAAATACAAACCCAAGGTAATACTTGTTATTATTTTTAAAAGTCAGTATGTATGGACCCTATGCTGTTTGATATTATTATTGAAAGCATGTTAAAGCAGTGATTATTTTTAAAAATTCATCTGCTATTTAATAATGGAAGACATCAGAACATTTTCAAAGTGAAATTTACAAATGTTTATGTTTTTGAGGTCTGCAGTTCCCATAGAAGGAGCTATAAAAAGAAAGTACGAAATTCTTGGAAGTTTGGGATCCACAATTTTAGAGTGTCCTCTTAACTGCCTATTAACTATGGAGACAATAAATTAAAACAGCGGTTCTGAAAGTTGGTTTTACAGTAGAATCACCTGGGGAGTCTTTAAAACTAGATTCCTGGGCCTCACTACCAGATTTTGATTGCATAATTTTAGGTTAGGGCTTTGCGATCAATACTTGTTAAAAGCTTTCCAGGTGATCCTGTAGCACAGGTACAATTAGGGAACTCTAGGTTAACACTGTTCATTTGCTAACTGTCTCTTTGCTCCACAGAGACAGAGAAATAATTAGGCAATTTGCTTAACCAAAATAATGTGTACTTTTGAAATTAGATAACCATGATAGCATTTGAATCTATGGTAGGCAAAGACCCTAGTGTGTAGATCAGGATTTTGTGGGATATCTTGAAGTCTTATTTGATAATTCTTCAAGTTGATGCGGTCCCTCATCCCAGATTTGTTGGTATTTCTACTTGAAGAAACACAGCTCAAAGTGGTGCTCATAACTTTATTAGTTGTCACATATCTTCTCCCTCATTGAATTCAAGGTTTTGGAGAAATAGAAAATAGTTTTTTAAATATACTTTTGCAATAGAGTATTTTAAAATATAGATTGAATTTTCTTTCTATAAGCGAGTGAGAAAATTGAATTGTAAGCTTGGAAATTTGGCTTAGGTAGCACGGGTCCCCAAACCTTGGGCTGCAGAACAGTACCAGCCCACGGCCTGTTAGGAACTGGCCTCATGGCAGGAGGTGAATGGCTGATGAGCGAGGGAAGCTTCATCTGTATTTGCAGCCACTCCCCAGTGTTATCATCACGGCCTCAGCTACACCTTAGATCATTAGGCATTAAATTCTCATAAGAGCACTGTTCCCTGGTGCCAAAAAGGTTGGGGACCACTGTTGTAAAAAGCATTTCATCAGGCATTTTTTCTCTGTTGTCACTTTAATTTGGCAAATATTAATTGCAAAGAATGGTTTCTGTATTAAAGCAGACAATAAAAAAGTCTTTTGAATTCATACATTGTATAACAAACTTTTGAAAAATTGATTCTCTTTAGTAAAGATAATATGTAAAGACAAATCTCCCCTTTCCCCATTTTCCTTTTTTAGCAGTTAGGACTTCAAGAATTATTTCCTCAAGGTCGTAGCTGTGCTGTTTGTGGTAAAGTGAAATGTAAACGACATAGGTGAGTTAAACATTTTCTATTTGTTGATCCTTCCAATTACAATTTGGATTTCAAGCAGTTTAATTGTATGATTTTCTTTAGGCCTTCCTTGCTACTTGAAAACTACCAGCCATGGCTAGACCTGAAAATTTCTTCCAAGGTCGATGCTTCTCTCTCAGAGGTAACTAATTTTGCCAGATATACTATGGAAAATTTAGTTATGAAGCATCTTAATATATGCCATCTCATCAATTCTTGGCTAATTAGTTGATTTGATTATGATGAAAAATGCAACTTAAATGGTAAGCTAGAAACGTTTTTTGGATCTCATGTCTAATTTAAGCGGGTATTTTAGCCAAAGAAAGCACTGTTTTACCTAGTTATTGCTTATCTCTTATAAAAACAGCCATTGTTATGATAGAGCAGTAGAAATAACCATTTTGTAATTTCAGAAGGAGGGACCAGAGCTGCAAAGAGCAAATGTATATCATTGAATTATGTATGACCTCAGTTTTGACACTAACTGAAGAGTAGAGCAGAGAATGGAACACTTTTCACATTTTGCGTAATATAAGAATAAGAAGCATATTCTCTTATCTTTGTTCCAGTCACATTTTATATGTACCTTTCTGGTAACAGATTGTATATTTTAGTTATTTTTTTTTAGAGACTTGTCTTCTCCATTGATTTGAGGAAGCATTCGAGTCCATGAAGGCAGGCAGTGGGGTCTCATTTGTTTCCAGCCCCAAGTGCAGGGCCAGATACATTATTGGTAGCTGATAGATATGTACTAAATTAAATTGAATGCCAAAAAATTAGTTAAAGAATAGCATTAGATATCTGAATCCTGCCTAATTGTCCCTTTTCCCATTTTGTATCTTTCTGTGGCTAAAAACATGCTGCATAAGTGCCAAACTCTTGGTACTTTTCATTTCTTCTGTAACATATTTTTCTCATCCTCAAGTTTCCTTGATTTAAGACTGCTCTCCAATACAGTAGCTACTAGCCACATGTAACTACTAATAAACACTTGAAATATGTTGAGATTTACTGTATATGTAAAATATATATGGAATTTTGAGGACTTAGTAAGGAAAAGGGAATGTAAAATATGCTCCTAAATATTTTATTGATTACATGTTAAAATGATAATATTTTGGATATATTGGGTTAAATAAAATATCATTAAATTAATTTCACCTGTTTCTTTTTTAAAATGTAGCTACTAGAAAATTTAAGATTACATATGTGACTAACATTATTATATTTCTGTTGGAGAGTGCTGATTTGAGGACTGTTGATGACAAAACCTCTAGCCAGAGTATTGTTTGTGTCTTTGACACTTCATTTATTTCTTTAAAAAAAATGAAACTTATATAAAGCTCTTTGCCTAGTGTCTGGCATGTATTGGTGTTCAATAAATATTAGCTCCAAATTTAAAAACATTTTTGAAATCTTGCTATAGGCGAGAACTGGACTAGGCCTTAGGAATAAAAAGAGAAATATGATATTGCCGTGTCTAGAAGCTTCAGTCTAGGAAGAGAGTTAGACATATAAACAGGTAATTATAATATAATGTAATTCAGGGAATAATAGAAGAAATGTATAAGCTATATTAGTAGTACAGAGGAAGAAGTGTGTAACTATTGAGAGAAGGCCAGTCAGGAAGTATGACTAGAAATTTGCCAGACTGATAGTGTGGGAAAGGGTATTTCAGGGTTTGGGAAGAGCTTTTGAAAG